CAACATTAAAACGATGAGACCTAGCTGCCAATCTAGTACTATGCTTAAATTCATGAAGTTGATGTACCAAGGAAGAAATCTCATCAGAACAGTTGCCATGAAAATATTTGTAAAAATGTCAGAGGGAAGCTATGTTACAGTGGTGGGATGTGATTGAAGCCAAAATGCTTAAAAATAAGATAAAAAGGTAGATTGAATCTCTGAACATTAATATGGTCATCATTTTCCAAATTATGAGGAATCCTTTCAAGAGAAAAATATTTTAAAGTGTGAAGGAAAAGTCAATGAAACATGAAATCTTCATCAAATTATTATTTTCTGGCATAAACTATTCTTGGTTGTTTGCTGTTGCAGGAACTGACTGAAGCCAAATTATTTTCTCTGCCAGACTTGATGTCAGCTGAGCAATAACTTAAAAAGATATTAGAATATCAGTTTTACATTTTGTCATGGCTTATTCACAGAAATGTTGCTGAGGGAAACTAAATTAAAACAGGTTGATTTTAGCATTTTACTACCAGTCATAATTATGCCCCTGTCATCCCTTTACATAAGTAGGTTACTTGTTACCTCCCTAACCCTATGGATTATTTGACCCTGCTTCCCTCTGATTGCAAAAATAAGACTCCTTGTTTCACGTATTTTGTCTACACATTTTGCTAACAAGATAGCATTTATCTGACAACAACCAATAGCAAATTACTTCTATTTTATATATTATAAATCAGAAACCAGGTCTCATATTCCAACTTTAAAACTTGTTTGATATCATGCCATACACTAATATAGGAAACTGAAGTATAGATTTGAAATGTTAGTAAAATCTATTTCAGTCAGTTTTGTCAAATCTGCACTAATCCTTATTTCTCATTTTAATATATTCAAAATGTGACAAAAAACTCTAAAGAAAATTGCAAACTGTTTTACATACAAATGAACTTGCAAGAAATTTATTCTTACTTGGTTTAGTAAAAATTATGTCAAATTATTACAGGCATGAAATAATTGTTTTTTTTTTCATCATTTTGTTTAGCTTACAGACAAACATTTTATATTCTATAAAATATCAAGAGTAAAATTGATTGTTTTAATTCCTTGATAAGTGACACATTTTTGAAAATACATCTTCATTTTATCTAAATCTATATATTAAGCTTTACTTGGTGGCTAAGATAGTTGAACTTGGGTTCCTATTTTGAATGTTGTTTTTCACATTGGCATATTGTTCTTTCTCCTCTACCACCTGAAATCCAACGTTTTCATTCATAAATATATTTTTTTTAAACAAATCTTCAGACCAGGAAAAAAGAGGATCATACAACAAATGTCTAAGAAAAACATAGAACAAAATCAAGACTGAAATATATTTTAATTTCTTTCAATGAATAAACAGGTTTAGTGTTTAAATTTGTTTAGTAATAACTAGAAATTAATGATTTGTTGAAAAATTTATTTTTTTTTGAATTCAAATATAAAAACTTTCTCATCATTTTCCTTCCGAAAGAGAAATATTAACATGAAAGAAATATCAGAACTAAGTGCTGTTTGTTGTCACCATCTTTTATCTTCTTGTTCCAAAAGTCTACCATAAAACTGAAGAATCAGCTCAACAGACAAGTCAGTTTTTCAATGTTGTTGAAAAGGTAGAATAAAAGGCAGGCAGTGCTGTGGATGCTAGCCCTGATGTGTGGCAAGTGATCGATCGATGATCTATGCAAGAACTGAAGCAGTTCAACTGCTCCTCTTACCACTTATTAGCAGCAGCTGCCATGTTCAAGAATGCTATCGCTACTGCTTACCAACATAAACTGCTGTCAAATTCCATCTGTGGAAAGAAAATATGCTCACTGCCGTTCTTATCATTTGGGTAAACCCAGTTGTTAGAAGCTTAAAGCATCTGCTGTACAAAGGTAAGTCAGGGAAAGAGTAGGGTTGGGCTGAGAAAGGTGGGAAGAAATCTTCAGTCATTCTTCATAACTCGTGATTGCACTTTATGAGAATTAATTCAAACTAGAGTTGTCATTAGAACAAACCCACTTCTTGGTTGAGAGAGAAAGACAGAGGTTCATCATATCAAATCTGAAAAGGTTAAAAGATGTTTACAAGAATGTTTTTCTTTCATTGTAAAATATCAACATTTTTTTTCTTTAAAACCTCTAAAAAAATGTATTTAATCTTAACATAATTCAATAAAGATTTTTTTTGTTACAGCTTTATATAATTTTACAAGCTTTTAGATGAATATCTAAATCTATATCATGCTTTTACTTTTTTTAGAGTTACATCTGCAATAGATTGACTGGTTTTTAACATATTTCACAACATCCTTCTTGGAGCCAAACCAGAACAAATTTGATAATTTTTCAAGTTGAAATATAAGCTTAACACTTTTCAAATTAATTTTCTTTTTAAAACTTGTTTTAAAAAGTTTTGGAAGTAAGAAAAAAAAATAAAGATTTTATGAATTTGAACAATTGATTTTAAAGAATTCTTAAAACAAAATTTCAATAAAAATACAAAGTATACTTTTTTATCCTGGTAATTGAAAAACAAAGAAAAAATTGAGAAAAACATTTGAGAAGAATTCTATAAATTTGTTAAGTGACATTAAAATTGGTGTTATCTCAATGAACATCCCCCACCAAAATTCTTAGTAAAATTTATTGTACTAATTTTCCTTGTAAATTGAAATTCCCAGATATAAATGATAATATTATCATTTATAACCAATTATGTTGTTAAGCTAAAAATTTCATAAGAATGTAATAGATGTTGAAGTAAATGTTTAAGAATGGCATCAAAATAAGTTCATTTTAGTGTTAAAATTTAGCATTACATGTATCAAGTTTATTATAGAATAATATTTAATAAATATATTAAATCTATGCAAAAGTTTCCAGAATCTTGATTTTTGAAAATTTAAGATTTAAATACACAATATAAAAAAATCTGCAAAAATTTCTTAGATTATATGAATACAAGTATTTTTATATTGGATTACATTATTACTAGCTGAGCAGAAGCCTTTTTCATTTTTCCCATGATTTCCTTTATTATTTCATTAAAAATGTTATTAATAAAGGTAAACAAATACTAATTACCGCAATCAGTTAGTTAAGTGCCATACGTGATACATGTTTGGGTGATCATGTATCGAAAGATACATGACTGATGAGGCAGATTTTTTTCCTGCAGTAGGTTGCCATTTCTTTCTGCAGTAGACTGGTTGCCGACCAAGGTTAAAGAACACAGTCTGTCCTGCTATTCAACATATAGCTGGAGGAAGAGGTGATGGATTCATACCTTTCCCAAGGTTATTTGTGCCTAAGTGAATTTAATGAACTCGATTGGAATTCAAAATTGGCTTTCCAAGTTCTCACACCAAGCCAATACCCATTACACCACAATACACATCACAATTACTGCAATACTGAAGCTAAAACACCAGAAAATTTGACAAAATCTGTGACTGGAAAAACACTAGGAACAATGAATGTGCATACAACTAAAACACTGAACTAAATTCTTAAAAAGTAATTTTGATTTCACTTCATGTACTCTGCAACCCCAGTAACATCAATTTTTGTAAATGCTAAGTTATGCTCTCTTAAAATATATGTCTAAATTGTTTTCTGTTGAAGAACTCATAATATGTATAATAGACAAACAGATCCAAGATTTTTAGTTGATAATAAACTTGGCCTTGTAAGTAAAATTTCAAATACAAATCATTAATGTACTTCATTTTTCAATCAAACATTGTTTTAGTTGTGTTAATTAAATGTAAATATCAAATTGTTCACTTTATAAACTAATTAATATTTGAAGTAAAATTTATTTACTTTTCTCATTAATTTTGTTGCTTCAGATTTTTAATGAGTTTAAGTAAATAAAAATATAATCTATAATAAAATTAGAAATTACCTTTAAAGTCAGAGAAGGAAAAATGTGGGAAGTGAGATAAAAAGTTGTTTTGAACATCAAAGTTTTTGTCTATTTCTCATACAGAATTTTCAGACAACTTCATGAGAAAGTAAGATCAAATACACTTGTTAAAAGATTAAAAATAATTCTTCATTTTTACTATAGTTCTTCTATTTTCATTAATTAGCCAAAGTCACAGATTTATCTACAGAATTGTTCATACAGTGAAGAATTCAAATTAAAATAAGGCATTTGCACTTTCCTTTAAAACCCCTATCTCTTTCTTTTCTCTCTCTCTCTCTCTCCAAACTTCTGTTTCTATACTTCTCTCACCCTATGAGAAGGCAACCCTCAAATAAAAAGAGGAGAAGAAAAGACTGAACCAGGCAGAAAACAACAGAAGTTTACATAGCAGAGCTTACTTATTTGTGACTGAAAAATACCAAAAATCAGGGAGGCTCCACGCACAACCTCCATTATATAAAAAAAAAAACAATAAAAAAAGGAAAGCCAGAAAAGAAAATAATTTTGGCCAATCAAAAAAAAATTGACACAGAGACTTTTTAATGTTAACCAGAACCAATGTTACTGCCACAAACTTTGAGCCTATTCAAAAGTATTTAAACTATCACCTCTGGGCTTGTGGCAGAAGAACGGCAAAAGAGGATGGAATAAAAGAAAGCTACCACGTAGAAATCAGCCATGTGTGAAGAAGCAGTTAAGAGGTCATCCGCTACTGATATTTCTGCCTGCTAAGGGCTGAGAAAAACACAGATTGACACTGACCTAATTTCTGAGTGTACTACTATCCCTACCATGGTCTTATTTCAAAACACTGAGATAGACATTTCTCCAGACTGCTACCAATATCTGCCTTATTAACAAACTTTTTGCTATGTCGAATACCAAAAGACTCTTCTTCACTCTGAAGAATATAAAAAAAATATATATTATTTATTTTAAACCCTTGAGTCAATTTGTATTATTCCAAAGTTTCCAATAAAGAAAATCCTACCTACAACACAATATGTACAATTTCAATGTCTCATAAATTCACCATCACAAGAAAATGTTACCTTTGCTTTTTTTTCAAATACTTCAAAGTCAGCCATCAGTCCTTCCACTTGTTGATAAGTTTCACCAACATCCAACATTGATGATTCAAGCCATTCTAAATTGCGTTCTGATGCATATTGAATCTGAAAAAATGAGATTTTATTTTCAAAAGTTGGATAAAAATTTGGTAGTAGATTAAAAGAAAAAAACTTTTGCAAAATCAGGAATGTCTGAATTCTTTTCATGGACAAAATTTATACTGTAAAAAAATTGCATAAATTTCAAGTTGAAAAGAGAAAATTCCAAAATTTTACCATTGATCCATTAATTTTCAACATTGTATTTCTATGGCTCCTCTACAAATGACAGAACATTCTACTACAGTCAGGATTACAAATTAGGATTTTGATAGGAAATGTTATTACAACAGTATTTACAGGATGTCTCTTCTCACTGAAAATCTATGTTAAGGATGAAACTTGAGTTTTTCATTTCACTTTTGAGTCCATCATTTAGTTTCTACATTCTGAAACAAGTTGATTTACTTTAGTGCTATGTCAGTTTTCTTCTAACTTAGTGACTTTCCATTTCAAGTATGCTCTTTGAAAAACAAAACAAAGGATTGAATAGGTTTTTTCAGTGAAGAACATAATTCTTTATAATTAAGAATTTAGCCAAAATTTTGTTTAAACGCTTACCATTGCTTTTGCTAAAGCTAAGGTTTTAGTTTCGTAATACATTTTGTATAGATATGCAATTTTACTTACACTACACTGTCAGATTTATTATACAAGTCAGTGTTTTCACAATAAAATTGGTATTAATCAAGTGATATAGATAATATCTTCAGAATATATGATATGATTTATATGATAAATATACCACGTGGAATCAATTTATAACACCTGATCTTATTAGATATATTAACAACTTTTGATGTGAGATTTTATTATGAAACTCTCGGGTTGTTTATCATATTGTAAATAAAAATATATAGTTAGATATTTATTTTTTAATTTCTGAATTATAAAAATGGTATTGAATTGAAAGAAAGATATAATTGCAAAAGCAAAACAATTAACTGTAACATTATTGATTGATGTAAACATAACTTTGGAAGCAATAAAACATTGACAAAATAACAACAAGAAAAAGAACTAGCTTTAAGAATTTCATAAAAAGATATTTGAGGAAAATAAGAAGGTATTAAGCAATAAAAGTGGTTTGACCAGCAATAAAATAAATAACAACCTTGGCCAACTAAACTATTGCCTTTAATTGTAAATTTAATTGTAAGTTTGACAAAGAAGTAGATGAAAACTGATTTTTTAATAGTAATTTTTCTGATAAATGTAGAAATACATTGGATGACGGTAATAGATGAGCTAGAAGTTGAGTCCTTCATGGAAAAAAAAAAGGAGTAATGTTTTTGACTCATAATATAGGCAAGGACATGACAGGCCCCTTCAAAGTTGATGATGATTCAAGAAATGCAGAGAATTTTTGTTGCAAGTTAAATATGTTTCTATAGTCTATTTCTTTTGGATTTATTTATAAATATAAAAAAAAACTTATGTTGCACTTTGTTTGCAAAATGAAACCTGACATCTCCAAAACATATGGTTATCCTTATTAAAAAAATATTGATGGATATTATAAGCCGAAACTCACATGATATATTACTCATAAAAATTTATTGTAGAAATATTGATTTGCATAATAAAATCTGACACAATATAAGTATAATAAAAATAAAAAAAAATCAGGAATATTAGAAATGTATTTAAATTTGTCAAAATTCATTAACAGAAGAGTTATTTTTATATTGATTCTTGTGAAATGTCTGCAGTGAAAGTGGGGCTTAGGGATTTTATTTTGCTAAGAATTGAATACTTAGTCACAAGGTTTAATGAAGTAATCCAGCTTCATTTGTTATTTGCCTTTTCATTTCATTTTGAAATGCAAAAACCAAATTTTTTAGTTTTTTCAAAGTATTGAGATGTCATTTTTGTGTAAATTTTTCATTTATCCTAAAGAAAATACAATATTTAACAAACTCACTTGTAGATATTGAAAAGCTAGAATTCAATTTTAGGTTAAACTTTCTGTCAAGCAGTTATATTTGTCAAAATCCATGACATCAGAAATCTTGGTAAATCAATTCATTCAGATAATCTACCTTACATTTCTTTCCAAGAAAAAATCAGTTTCCATAATTTTATTTTATTTTTTACTATGCTATTTTAAATATATTTTGAAATTACTGATTGTACATCTTTATGTTAAAATGAAAGAAAAATGTTGATTATTGAAGGTTTCAAATGAAAACAAAGAAACAAGCTTGAAAAAATATAAGGATTATATAAAAATCAATTTAATTGTAAAAACATTTTCAAAAACATGATTTCAAAATCTCAGGAATTATAGAAGAACAATGATAGAACATTTTGTATGTGTTAATTAAACAAATATACATCATCAAATTGATATAGAAATATAACATTTTGTTAATTAAACAAATATATATATTATAAAAGTGAACAATTGAACTCAACAAAAGCTTAATTTTCCTTAGCCATTTTTTTTCATATGTTTGTTTCTTGAAGCACCTTCAAAAGATTTGTACTCAATGAGCCATCCCTTTGTTAGTACATCTGCCAACTGTTCAATACTCTGTATCGATGAGCGTGTTATATCCTTTTTTTTTTTTTTTTTCAATCATTTCTCAAACAATTAACATTTCCACCTGTAGTTTGATGTCACTAATTCTTTTTTATTGTCTTCACTGCTCCACACAAACTTTTACTGTCTACTTTACAGTGGACAGGTATGGTTGTATTCCTGTTGTTGGAGACAAGTTTTGCAATTATTTTAGCCATAAACCATGGCATGTCACACCATTAAACAAATTCTAAGTTTCTGCCTCTAATGTGGATTTGACCATTCTGTTGATCTTAGTGAACAGGCTGTCATTTTTTCATCAGTAAACACTTTGTCATCCTTGACTACCCCTGATCCAGATGATAAGCACAACTTGTAACAGTATATGTTACAACCTTTTAATCTTTGAGATATTTAAGTCTTGGAAATTGGATGGCACCAGGTGTGTTTTTCATGTGTCTTAAGATATCATTTGCCTTATTTAGATGACTAACTTTATCATATGTGATTGCTGAGCTCAACTGGCAAACAGTAAAACCTATGTTAGAGTGTGTCATGCCAGCAATCAAATTCAGTTGTCTAACGAAGCACCTCAGTTTAGCTTTCTCTTCAAGTGGTAACTATATTATCTTTTTGAATATTGCCAATGTCTATCCATGCTAATAGGCTCAATTGGTTTTATGTAATAGAATGTTTACAATTTATGTCAAATGGACTTCTCAAATTTTCTATCATACACAATTCAAAATTTTTAGTTCCACCCCACAATTGATTATCAACAAAACATACTAGAATACTTTGAAGGCCCTCTGTAGAATGCCAGACAAAAACATCTGGATCTTATATACTTGTCCATGCACCATCTCTTCTTTGAGTCACAGAAACCAGACTCTAGGTGTATCTGTTAATCCATAGAAAATCTTTTTAACTTTCCAAATTTTATTAGCTTTACATTCATGTGGTGGATAGAGTTAAATGTTTCTATCAAATTGGTTTTCCTTGTAGAAAAGCTTTTTTATAATCAATAGAATCTTTGAGCACACAGAAAGTTACAAATAAAAGCTAGGCTATCAATAATTTTTGGTGTTATATAACCCCCATCTTACAGATATGCATTATTGTCCATTATCCTCAATTTCATCATATACATTTTTCTTCCAATTTTCTAATTCTTTGTTTTTATCTGAAGAGTATCTTGCTGTGTTTCAGTTTGGAATATTTCTGTTGAGTTTTTGTAATAATATCACATCTGATTGAGATGATTTCAGATTTAAGTCAATATCCTCATTAATTTTGTCTCCTTCCTCAACATCTCAGGAAAGACAAGTGATTGATTTTGACAGTTTCATTGTCAGTATTCCACTCATTTGCATATTTGCCTGAACATTTGCCATATTTAGAAACCACTTTTGCTGTTATCCAATCATTTCTCCATGAATTTATATTGAACCTCTATGTTCTTTTTTAAAGTACTATTTTTATTCAAAGTACAACCTGAGGTGACTCATTTACATATGAAGTCACAAAGACTAAATAGCTTCAGCTATTACCTCTGAGGCAGTTGAGTGCATACTATTTCACATGAGTCAGTAACACTACACTACAATGGCACTCCCAATAATCTAAAGAACCAAACGAACAATTATCACTGGATAATTATGAATACACACAAGCATAGCTTAGGATACTAGCCACTAAAGCTAGAACAAAAAAATGTTAATTGACAAAATATTAAAAGTTGAGGTACCTAAGAAAAAAAAAGAATTGGAATCTTTCTTGTAAGTTTCTACAGATGATATATAGAGCAATACTCTGAAATGACAGAACCTTTTGCTGTTTTAAGAAAAATGAATGTGGAATTTAATTGGACAAAAGAACAACAAGTGGCATTTGAAAATTTAAAAGCTGTTCTGGTAAAGAAGCCAGAAGTAAAAATATTTGACCCTAGGAAGGAAATAATATTAGCTCAGGATGGTCATCCTATTATGTATCTTTTGAGAAAATTGTCAAACACTGAATCAAACTACTCAAATGTTGAGAAAGAAGTGTTGAATACAGATAACAAATAGAGCTTGTCAATTTTTGAAGTTAAAAATTATATAGAAATTCTCTTACATTATATTCCTCAAATATATTTTATTGATATGTTCACTGTAGAAAAAAATTAGATAAACTTTTGTCTGTCAGTCAAACTCTAAACACTTTAAATAAACAGCTACTGCCATTTTTAAAAAAGCATTTCTACGATATTTTAAATGGAAAGTAAGTAATATTTATTTCAAATCAGATTACTTAAACTTTAAATCAGCTAATATTCCTCAAATAAAATTTCAGAAAAGTATATTTTATTTTTGAAAGATTTTTTTTAATAAAGATAATTATATTGTGGTTAAAGATGGCTAAAAATGGCACTAAAATCAGTGATCTTAGCAATTTCAAAACAAAAACTTCTTCCAGTCAATTTAAATTAGTTTTGAAATACAGTAAAGTATTTTGCTTGTTGGAAATATCAAATTTAATCTATTAGCTTGAAATTCAAACTAAAATAAACACTTCAAAATAGATTTTTCATTTTTAAAAATTAATTTTAAACTTTAGGTATCATGTTTCTGTGGTGGTACCAATAAAAATCTTGACTTCATAGAAATTAGCCATTGAACCTCAAAAAAAGAAAGAAAAGACAATAGTGAGCCTATGAGAAATCCTTTTTGATATAAAATAAGGAAAAAAAGTTAAATTCACAAGAGAAGAGATCGACTTTAACCAAGCACTTGGCACTTTAAAAAAACACAATTTCTTTTATTTTTGTAACAAAATATTTGTAAAGAAATATTTTTGAAAATTACAAAAGCCAAAGAATGCCAGATGATCTTACTGGTCAAAAAAAAAAAAAAAAAAAATAATGCAACTTGATAAAATATTAAAGAATGATCACATCAAGACAAAAATGAATCCATTATGAAATTTGTTACAAAGAATAAAAAAAATACTTACGAGTTTGAATTCTTCTTCAAATTGTCGCAATTGTAAACATTGTCGTAATTTATTTTCATGTCGACCCCAGAACATTTCAAACTGCATTTTATTTTGTTCTAATTTAGTAAGTAATCTGAGGAAAAAACAAACACAACCAAAAATATTAATAGTAATATAAAGGATGAAAGAAAAAGATTGCATTAGATATTTCCACCTACAACATTTACACAGACAACATTTAATCAGCTTTTGATTTTATTATCAAGAGTTGAGTTTCAAATCTACAGGTTTGATCCTCTTTATTGATGAAATCTGATATAGTTTTTATGATCATGAAAATATTTTGCAAAATTATTATGAAGATAATTGATTAATTACCAACAAATTGAACATCTTTACTGGTTTCAAATCAGGATTGCCGTAGGATTATTTTCACCCTAAACCATCATAAGAGAGACAAAGCCCATCTTCTGCTGAGAGCAATCCATTTGAGGGAGAATATCTAAAACAGAAGTATGTGTGGCTAGTGTAATGGTTAGCAACTTGAAAAGAAAAATTGCCAAGTTGAGTTCAAGTCCTGGTCAAATTTGTTATGTTCACTTTTGCACAAATAATCTTGCAAAAGGTATTAATCCATATCTCCCCACAGCTATGGATTAAATAGCAGGCTAACTGGGCTCTGTTGCTTTGAGGTGGCAACCAGTCAAGATAAAAAGCTGAAGAGAAATGGGATCCATTTGTCTAATTTGATGCCACTGCTGCTATGTCTGCAGTATATAAAGTGTCTGCCCCTACATCCTTACGGATTATAGAACCCATGATGGGATCAGGTAAAATAGAAGAGCTTCATTTTAGTTAATTACCAGGAATAATCTGATAGTTTTACCAACAAAACAGGGGGCTTGAGTAAGGAACTATTTTACAAGAATGTTTTCCAATGACATTTTCTTAGGAAAGAAAATTAATTCTTTTAGAAAAACAAAAACTTTCAAATAGAGAACTGAAAGATTTAAAACTATAATATTAGAAAATGTTTTTTCAAGTTTAAATAGTGAAAATTTGTTCTAAATTGATCAAATAATGGGTAACTTAAAAAATGACAATTTAATGTAAGGAAAACAGGCTTTATTGTTGAAGTAGGGGATTTTTACTAAAAATGGCTGCCTATTCCAGATAGCAAGTTCGGATTAATAAAATAAGCATTGTCTTGCATAAATATTCAGATTTACCTTTCCAGTGCCACAACATGTATGAGTTTTACTAATGGGATTTCCTGGCTATTTCCCTTCACACAATTGAGCAAGATCTCTCCATGATTTGAGGCACTGTTCAAGTCATCAAGTAGCTCTTTTCTTCCCTGGATATGTTCTCTAATCAAGGCTTCAGTTCCAGCAACATCATTTGGTATTTCTGTTTCTTCATATCGGGCAGCCAGTTGGTCAAGTGCCTGCGTAACATTATTGATGTTGGTGGAAAACTTCTCGCTTGCCTATTTTAAATGAGGAAAAGAAAAAAAATCCAGAAAATTTTCAAGCACAATACAGAATTGATATACCGATTACTAATCATTCTAGTGACAATTCAATATAACAAAACAAAACTTCATTCTGTTAATTCACAAACAGTTATTTCCTACAAGATAAAAGTTTAACAATGTTATGTCTAATATTTTTGAATAAATTGTAGAATTTTAATTGATTTTGGTAGCAAGACAGAAGTTTAAATACTTAAAAGGCAAATAATATTTTATTAAAAAACTGCCAGAAGTATAAAAATTCAGTTGTTTCAAAGATTGTTTGCACCTTTATTGCCAAATATAACTTTATTAAATTTATTTTGTAAACATATTAAAAAAGTAAATTTTTGGTTCAAAAGAGAAATTACTGGAATTTTGCAAAAAATATTTAAAGAAATAAAATGAATCATTAAAGATTTAGTCAGATTATTCTATCCCAAGAATGCTTGAAAAGTCTCCCAATTTATCAAAATGATTTTGATTTTTAGTATAATACCTTTGTCAAGGAATGTTACAGAGAAACAAAAATAATACTAACAACAAATATGTCACTTGTACTATACAACAGCAAGTTAAATAACTTCTATACAAGTATTTGTTGGCTTAGATGCAATATTAAAGATAAATATCCCAAAATGAATACTATAACTTCTTGAGCTGTTGACAACAACATTCACAGCCGAAAAGAGAAAATATTGTGTAAGTTCAGAAACAAGAATGATGGTCTGACAATGAATAGCAGTGGGAGGATAGAAAATGGCACAATGCCAGATTTGGAAGTGGAAGGAGCCAAATGATAAGTCACCCAATAGATTGCAACTCCTGATTTCCCATCATTGTCTTGGATATGCTGCCATCATCATCATCAGTCGAAGCCTATTACAAATGACAACTGTCATAATTACTGTCGTCAGCTTCAGCCTCATAATATCTCTATAATTTTATTCCACTAACCATCAATGATATGAAGAAAAGCCAAGACTTACTGCCCTCTGTTCGATCCATTCCTTGTGGTCATATTCAATATCTCCACCCAAGTCCTTAGTGAGTTGACTAGGATCAATATGTTCAAATAACTCTTCATGGCTATTGCACATAACAACCTAAAGAGAGAGAACATAAAAAACATTGTATATCAAATACCCTCGCCTATCAGAGCTGGGAAACAATAGCAAAAAATATTGTAAAAAATATATTGCATATAACATGTATAGAGGGAAAAAAAAAAGATGTATTTGTTATATATATATATAAATGTGTGTATTTAAGTGGCATGACTTCATTCAAACAAGTGTTATTAAATAACACCAAGGTTTGCCTATTTAAGTTTTTATATTGTCTTTCTAACTTCCAACCAAGGTGCTCTACCACAAGATTAAAAGTTACTAAACTGTCCAAAGTACATTTTTATATATTTGAGTACTTTTAACTGTCACTGTAGTTGTTATGAAGAATTGCAAATGATCAGTATTTTAAGCAAAATGCATTTGATAAGTTCTGGTATTTTTAGATTGATGGAATTAAAATTTAAATCAGTTAAAGGTGACATCATCTGCAATGGTCAAAATGAAAAGCCTATATCAAACATTTATATGTGCATATTCATATAAAAAGAGCATGTATAAATGCTCGATACATGCTTTAAAGTTTGATCATTAACTGACCTAAATTCAGAACTTGTCAAATACATTTTGCTTAAAATACTGATCACTCGTTATATGTTGTTGCATATTTTCTGCATATGTAATATAAGATTTTTATCCATACATTTAACTATTGTCACATAGAAGAATGAATCCTGCTTTTTAAATCCTTAAAAGTGAAAATACTTAACACAGCTAACATGAAACAAAAAATAAAAGATATATATTAGCAGCTTGGTTTCCCTTACATAATAATGATGTATTCCTTTGTTATGAAAACACAGGGAGATTTGCTTATTCTTGATAATATAAGGGGATATCTCATTACTAAAAAGAGATCAAGTAATGTGTCTGATAAATATATAAAATCACATTTATTTTATTTTATAGAATAGGTGCTTTACTTATGAGGAATTTGTGTAAAGTGAGATTTAAGAAGAAATTTCTACCTGTAAAATTTGTGCTTAACAATAAGAGTCAAAAAGATTTTAGAGAAGAAATGACTGCAATATTTTAAATGTTGAGTTTTTTGCATGTTTTTCATGAAGAATATATCCAGCTCAATGCAGGACAGAAAAAGTTTGATTTTATTTTATGTGAACTCTTAAAAATTCCAAACTTGGAAATCAAGTTTTAATCAGATTTTGAATACATAAAAAAAGTTGATGATTGTTAGGAGAAAGCAGACAATCTAGGTGAATTTCATGTGACTGATTCAGAGGGAAAAAGCTTCAACATGATAAATAGAAAGGAAAAGGTCTTCAAAAGAGAATTGGATGCAAGAGACAAATGCCTTGGAAATACTGACAGACTAGCAATAGAACAATGTATGTGACTAACAGAATTGGAAGCAGTGAATGAGGAAGATTGGAAAATTTGGCTAACTTTGGAGATGAACACTGAATAAATAATCACAAGAAGGCATGTTGATAATTATGTAAATGACAGAGAAATGATAATTTTTGCCATCAGAACAACAGCAGGGAATCAAATCATCTGTACAGAATTCAATTTACCTTACTAGAGTTGTCAGAAAGAATGCTTGGTCAAAGGAGCTACTGATATGATTTGCCTAAGTGTACTTTACATGCTAATGACCAGTTCATCCCAAGAATGATTGCTTCCAGGAAAAACAAAAAATTTGGCAAACAGTTAACAAGTACTGTTGGCAATGTTGTAATCAGAACACAGCCAAATTTTCAGATAATTCAATATAATTCTTACTTTGCATGTTATCTCTCCTGCTATTTTTTAAAAATGGTCTAAGGGATCTAAAGCATGCAGATATCAAATAAAACTGCTTTTTTCTTTTAATCAATCACCAGGCTTTGATGACGAACAAAAATTATTAAAAAAAGTCATACCAGCTACAGTTTTCTGTGTGTTAATGCCATAAAACAAACCATAAATTGTGCTTATAATTTTCATTCTACTTGAATTTATTGTGAATTATAAAATCAAATTTGAATAAGTACAACTAACATGAGAAAAACAAATTCCTTAAATTATTTTCTACTTTGTATGATATATTCTTGTTTTAATTGACATTTTCATCACATTTGCCATGAGCGTCTGTTAGCAATAATTTCTGAAATCAGAATTTAAGACTTTAAAGTTTCTGTCTGAATTTTTGGGATGAGAAGTTATCATTATTTACACATGAACTATTGCCTCATCTTTGTTGGAGTTATAACACCGTTTCAGCCGTTATACCCTCCTGCCTTCATCAGATGCATGTCGATTTGGGAAATCTATAGAAATTCCAAACTGAACCCTTTATTTATTCTATGGGGTTGGTTTGTTCTTGTTACAGGGACATCTCATCTACTAGTTCTTATTCTTAGTATTTTTCACTTATTGTTCACCCTGCTTCTACTGAGTCAAAGTACACACTGTCCAGTCCAGGAAGTGAACTAACAATTACTAGGTCACCAAATTAATGAACCAAATGTTTAATCCAGTAGGCCATCACTGATATGTTCATCAGTGATGGCAAACATGGTATTACTACAATGAAATGGCTTTAGGAACAGCAACCCTAAAGCCAGAATTATGGCTGAGATCTGTAAATGACACTTTCATACTCTGGCCTCACCAGGAAGCTGTACAAATACTGTTTTTGGCCATGTGAACTTAATAAAACTTTCAGTCCAGTTCACAATGGAAGAAGAAAATAATAATCAGCTAACCTTCCTGGATGTACTAATAACTTTGCACAGAGAATGGTTTCAAGATATCAGTATATCACAAGCCAACTATCACTGAACAATATCTCAACTTCAATTCCCACCATCCATACAGAGTGAAGAAAAGGATTGTCTGATGCCTACAACAGTAGCAACCCAGACACATGCCAATGGGAAATGATCAGCATCAAGCATACACTTTAGAATAACAACTACTCTGCAAAGATAACATCAGCATCTGCAGGTGGAAATAGAAGGGTCTTGCTATGGTCTTTCTGCCTTACGTCAAGGGTTTATTGGAAAAGATTCAGATGATGATGTTCAGTTCATTCAACATCAAGACAATATTCAAAAGCAGCTCCACTCTATGCAAAGTCTAACACAAGGGAGAATATGATCAAGAACTGTGTAAACTCCCTGCAGTTGTGGCAAATAATATAAAGGTGAAACAAGCCATCCTTAAAAGTAAGGCTGGAGGAATATCAAAAACCTGTAGTGAGTGGTGAGACAATGAAATCATGCATGTCTGATCATGTATGGAGGGAAAAGGGTAGTTATTAGTCCCTATGGAAGGAAATGAAAATACTGGACAAGGAAGAACACTTGAAAGTTAGACATCTGAAAGAATCAGCACATATGCTAAACTATAAGGACTGCCTTAGTAGACCTAGCATAGAAATAAATACAATATGGGAGCCACTAATAAAGAAAGATAAATGACAGCAGGTCTTCAACAGCTGCTATGACAAGCAGCAGCACCCTTCAGCAGGAAGGCTAGGTTTAAGGCTCAAAAATCATCACAGAGACTGTCCCATGGAACAACAGTCTACTAGATTTGGCGACATAGTAATTGAGTTCAATCCAGGCAGCATGTATTTGGACTCAGTGGAAACAGTGTAAGCAATAACTGAGCAATACTAAAAATAAAACTAGACGAGATATCCCTAGACATGGGCAATGGAACAAAAACAAGCTACTCCCATACATTAAATAAAGGATTCAATTTGGAATACCCTGTAGGTTATCCACATTGACATATACCTGATGAAGGTCAGAGGGCACAATGGCCAAAATATTGTGATAGCAACAAAAAAGTTGATGACAATAGCATAAATAATTTAATGTTTCTGTGTTTTTCAAATAAATTATAATTCAAAGTTTTAAAACGTGCTATATATTGACTGCGCAATTTCACATTGGAACCAAGAGAATGTATGCAATTCAAGAATTCAAAAACCACCTGAAAGATGATTAAAGAAACATGTTTTAAATACCAAGCCAATACTTAAGATGTTCACTAACAGTCCTTAAATATTAAGGAAGATCTGATATTAAATGTATTAAGACAGACAATATTAAAGGCAAATATTAATGTATTAAAGAAAGCTATGAGAGAGATTTTTAATGGGAATACGTGAACATGTGTGCATCAGATAGATTTAACAGAACACTCCCAGCAATTCTGAATACAGCACAAGGCCTTTTTAATGTGGTGGTCCAATATGTATATGTGACCAGATTTTCCATTCAGAAATTAATGCCTGCATGTGATTTGTTAATTCTACATATACACACACATATTTTAGAAATAATTTAGGATAATGTTCCTAATTGAAAAGAAGAATTTATGATTTTAGATTATTTCTAAATTTATATTTTCAATATTCTTAAGAATCTAAATAAAATAACTACTTTATTTTAATCAAAGTAATGTTATTATAGTTACTCTTTTTGTTTTTTAGTTATTGTTTATGTATCTTACTGGAAAAGACACCTTTTTGCTAATGATTTAGCTGAAGAGTTTCACATATAAGCAACATCTTTATATTCTGTTTTTAATCCTGCTGGGCATCTAGCCACCATCCTCACCAGAAAAGCATGGTGGAGGAACCAAATTTTAGTTGCCAATCATCTGACCGTGTGGCAGGTAGTAGTGGGTTATGTGGTACCAAGAGCATTCCTAGACTGACCTGCCATAAATTTTCAACTGCAGGTGAAATTATTAGCAGAGAATTTCAAGAGAGATTCATAATAAAAATGTAATCATTTTTCACTTATTTCAACCTGATTTGAACACAGATTAACTTATTGAAATTGTTGATGCTAATGACAAAAGTATATCACACATCTAAATAGGAAAACATAGCAACAGTTGATGGAATAATTGAATTTATAAGATCAAAAAATAATGACTAAAATAAAATAATACCCAATAAACTAAATTTTTAGCGAGATTAAAATATTTCCAAATGCTTTGCAGGATCAAAGTACATTTTGCTAAGTAGATTAAAGCATCGAGTCATGAATTTGGTGACATAGTAATTATAGGTTCAATCCCTAGGCCGGGCAGTGCATACTTAGACTGAGTAGAAACAGGGTTAGCAATTAACTGAGCAGTACTAAAATAAAAACTAGATGAAATAAATGAGAACAATTTACCAATGTAGATTAAAGGGTTTTATAATATTGTTAAATATACCATTAGGCATTGTCAATTCCATGAATTGGTGCAATATTTAGGTTTCTGAATTTATTGGATTCAAAATGTTTTTCAAGTCAGAAGAAAACAATGAATCTCACTGACCTTAAATTCAAGCTCTTCCTTAACAAACTTGGATCGGAAATCAGCAAAGGCTCTTTGGAAAAAGCCGACGGGCTGTAGTAAAAAGACCACTTGGATGTGTGTTGGGAAAAATGCCTGAAAATAGATATATTTAGTTGTAAATATGCAATAAGAAAAATCAAAAAGGAAAAAAAAAGACTACGTTTGACAGGACATCAATAAAATCTTGAAACAAATTATAAAATCAATATTAAAAATAAAAAAGATAAAACTTAGTCACTAGAAGATTGAAGGTTGAAAGGGACAAGCTTTTAAGAAAATGCAAACTCTTTACATGTACAACACAATGGTTAAAAAGTAGGATTTTAGATTGAAAGGGGCTATGTTATAATCAGGTATAAAAACTATGAAATGTATCACTGATTATAAAATTGTATGATAGAAACTGAAGTGTAGTTTTTGCAAGATTCATGTGTTTACTTTGTTTGAAAAGTAAAATGTCAAAAGTAAACATTCAATGGATTTTCTTTTGGAAATATTTCCATATTTTTGTTACTTTTCATGATATTTGTCAGTTTTTGAAAAATTTCAATTAAACTGTTTTTATTCCCAGATTTTAAATATTCACTCATAGAATATAAATATAAAATTTATATTTATTTTTGTGCTGTGTCATTTTTATATTTTGAGCACCTGAACTTTGATATGAAATTTCACAAGGATCTTATTTTTATTATTTATGATTTTGTTTATTTACTTAACAGAAATTGAATCAGGAGTTTACAATGAGAAATGTATTTTAGTTGCTGAGTTCTAAAAAATGAATTGTAGAAAAAAAGTTTTTTTTTGCCAGGTTTTTCTTTGCAATATTGTTTTAGCCAAGTATTAAGCATCAATAGCAGACATTTTTTTTCTACATTTATGTGGGCTCAACTTTTATCTCCATTGTTGAATAAAATGAAATGGCCAACATAAAGGGACAAGTAATCGGTAAATACATTAACAGCAACAATGAGGAAAGAATCAAGATCAGATGACATTAAACATTTATAAATTATTAATGATAATCTTGTGACCTGCTCACTCAGCAGAAGAAAAAGTCATTAAAATATAAAGTCAGTATAAAAGAGTCAAGATTAAACAGATTATAAAAATACTTTCTAACCTAAAGTTGCTAAGTTTTCTAATGGTTATGTAGACGAGCAATCAATGTTATCAAATCTAATCACTTAGGTTACCTCTAAAAATACTTTTAAGATTATGCATCAGGAGATATATGTCATGTTTTGCATGTTGTTATTTTATTATTATACTTTTGTCATCATAAGCAGATTTCAAAGGGTGATATCATTTTAAAGTTTTTCCTGAACTCTTATTTTATATTTTATATTTTACTGTAGTTGTTTAACTTTTATTTCTAGATAAAGAGATTCTTTCCATTTGGTTTTCTTCAAAGTGATTTATTTTTCAGAGGAGTTCTGTTTGATATTTCGAATGAATGAAGAATTTTATGGTTTTATGTGCAAGGCCATCACCATGAAATAAAAGTGAAATGACCTCAATCTCAAATTCATCACTGAATGATTTATCACGATTTCAGCATGTGATTTGTTAAATCCGAGCACTGATACAAATCCCTACATAAATGATTATAGGTGAAATTAATGGACTCAGATCAGAGAGTATGAGGAGGAAGACAAGAAGTTCTTTTGGAAAGGTCTAAACACACATAAGCAATGAATCCACAATGGATATTAACACTTGGAGAATAAATGGTCAACAAAAACAGATTTTTATTAATGAAGTTGAGTTTGAAAAAGAAAAAAGTTAGAAATAATGAAATGACAATAGAATGAATTAGTATTGGCAGAAATAAGATGAAATTAAAGAATTTTGAGATTCAGACACAGTATTTTTTAAATATCAGTCATTTAAAGAAACCTTTATGAAAAATTATCCACTTCCTTTTCACTAGCAAGACTAATGTCCTTCTCAGGATAAGACTGAAGATATTTTGTCATACTATATAAATAATAATTAAAATATAAGAAAGAACAGTAAGATTTACAATCCGGTGTTCTTAGTAATTATTTTTATTTTTAAAAAAACAGTGCTTGATACACAACAGAATAGCATAATATTGTAATCATTTAAATATTTCTGGCACTTAAAAGAAACTAATAAAACACCAACAGTAAAATGGAAATTAATAAGTGCAAGACTAATCATCATTAAATGTCCTTTGTGCATACATGAAAAATTATACATTATTAAGTTTCTGAAAAATAAAAATTTACTTAATCAAAGAAATGAAATAGCTATTTTTTGCAGACACTGTCAAATATTTTCTTTAAATAATGATTAATTTTGAAAAAGAGATGAAAGATGAAACATACATATTTATATTTGATCTTTGATTAATAACTTTTTATCATTGAAAAACCCAGACGGCATGTGAAAAATGGATATTGTTGTTTGTGAGCAGGCACCCCCTACCTCACCTTAACTTAACCTGATTTTGAAAGTAACTTATATTTGATACATAAGTTGTCTTGGGAAATTAAAACCCAACCACCCCTTATCAAAATAATTCAGTTTTCCCTAACCTTAACAACTTAAAATATTAAGATTGTCTGTGCTTATAAATTTTTAAAATAGAAAATAATTATAATTATATAAATTACATGTAGATAAAATTCAATACCCTCTATGATATATGGCCATTTCACCCTGAACAGGCTTTTCAACACCAAGGAGTTAGATAAAAAAAAAAAATGAATCAAAATGTTTTGTAAATAGGAAGAAAACATCATGATTTTATTTTTTTAGCTAATTTCTTCTCATTTGGCGTAAAATGGCCATATGTCATATGGAGTACTGAATTTCATCTACATGTAATTCATATATGCTCTATAATAAATATATTGAGCTCTCTTCTGCGGATCAGTTTTAATATTTCATATTACTAGGATTCACTTGGATTACATACCACATATTTTTACCCCCTCTCTCTCTCTCTCTCTCTATATATATATATATATATATATATATATATATATACAAGAATGATATAAAGAAAGTTGAAAGATAAAAAGAAATAATTTCTTCTTGGTTTTATATCACTGTACCTAGAAGAAATTATGATTTGCATTAAGACGATTTCTCAGAATGTGACTGGATTAAAAAAAATTTAAAACATAAAAAAAGCATTTTACTTAAAGCCTTCATTTTTTCCCTATAAAAATATGCACTTCTTTATATATTTGCAATTGCATATAGAAATGATTGACCTGTACCAGTGTTCAAGTGTTTCTCAATTTGTAAGTTTGGTGCAACACAATCTTCATATCCTTTCTTCAGGCTTTACTAAACCAAGTTTCTGTAAGCATTCATGTCAAATAGTTTCATTTTATTTTTCCTTACAATGAAATTAATGCAGAAATTATTTATTCTTTTATGAAATTAAGAATGGTATGAAAATCAAACATTCACCTGTACCAGTTTAACATGAAAATATTTGAATATATCTTCCTAGCAACTACAAAAAGATATAAGCAGAAAGAAAACATTTTTTTTTAGTAAAGATGGATCGAATGATTTAGAGAATATTATTCTTTTATCTTTATTCAGGCAACAAATATCTAGAATAAGGAATATTTGCTAACTAATCCTTCTTTTTTTGAAATTTCTTCAGTACTTTTAACCTTGAATAATTCAGAACACAGACATAATTTGAGATTTACAATATAACCCAAAATAGACAAACTTTTAAATCTATAAGATTTTATTACTAATATTAATGATATTAAAAATATTACTGCTGTAGAGAATCCCATCCAACTTTAGATGAAGGAAGAATAAAAGAAAAAGTAGCTTGATGAGAAGAGTTCCATTTCTCACACAATACCACTTTGCTAAGATGGTTATAGTGAAAAGAATGCCCTGTTGTCTGCAGTGTAAAGGAGCCAGAATGTTTTATTAACTTGCAAGTAATAAGAAAGTGTGTCAGATTTTGCATTCTCTTAAAATAAATATCCACTATTGACTATTCAATTGTTGGATAATAAAACAGAATTTGGGATTAATGTTAAATTATTAGAGAACACTGAGAAGTTCTCAGCCTAAGAGATTTTTTTAAAAAGTTCTAATGTCTGGTCAGATTTTGGGAATAAGATTGAATTGCAAACTTTTCAGCACCCATTTCATATACCTGGTAATTTTTCAGAAACTAATGTAGTGGGCTGAAAGCCAAAAATGATAAAATTGTTGAATTCTGTTTAAAGGAAATTTTATTAAATAGAGCAATCTTCAAAACAAGAGTATTCAGAAAATTCAAAATCTATCTGAGAATAGGCCTTAGTAAAATGAAGATAAAGCATTTATATAAAAAAGAAATATTCATATTTTAAAGAAGCCGTGAAAAGAAATCACCCAAGTAAACTAAAATATTTTAAGAGCACATTAAGAAAAACTGCCAGCAATATTAATTGGTAAATGGTGGTGCTGCAAAAGATCTACTAATGTAATTGGGAGATAATTTCAGAAACTTCCTAATTATGTAGCTTCTGGTTTGGTAAATTGCCAGGGTAGATAGGAAACAAGAGCAAAATAATAATTGATTATTAAATAATTCCAAGAAGATGTAAATTAGTGCATAATTTTATTTGGTTGTACAATTCATGTTTATAGGGGTCAGTGGTGAGTATTTCTCTTTCTCCAAGAATATGACAAACCCTAGAACCAAGATTCAAGAGTCATTTGTTCACAAATAGAAAAAATTCAATACAGAGAATTTTTAAAAATAATAATTAACTGTTGAAGGTTTTTCACATATTTTACAGCTTTTTCAGTGAGAAACTCATTTCAGGGCCAAATTAAAAATTATTTTGAATGTCTCAGCTTAGCTTATCAACTATTTATGGTAAGAAAACATCACCTTTTGAAATGGAAGCCTCAAACAGCAATGGAGAACTCTTGTTAAACAAAAAGATATTCCATCCTTAACACATGGTTCAACCATCACTGCATCACATGGCATAGCCCAGATAATATAGCAAAAAAGATTGACTTCATCATCTCAGACTCTTAAATTAGGCAGTTTATGATGTTATAGTATAAAACTCCTACTTTGAATC